GTCATAAACATCGAATTTAGATTTAACATAGTGTTCATATGTCTCTTTTTCAAGGTCATTCTTGTTGTGAGTTGTAAGGAAATTGCAATCATGCGTTACGTATGTGTTTATTATTTGTTGTGGCCTAGTATAGTCTTGCCGCGTTTGCAAATTTGCCGTGTCTCGACCTAGGTTAACAATTTTCTTCAGTGTTTGCGCTATTTCATCAATACAATGTTTATAGTAGAGATTCTTGTAACATATTTTCTTTGCGTTGAAATACTGAACTGACCCACATACTGTCGATTGTGTATGTTGTGAAATATGACCTAATGTATTGAAATTAAACACGCCGTTCGTAAACGAAATTGTGTTATTTTTTAGATTAATGATTGAGTTTTCTTGACGCAAAAATTGCATGCCTAAAATGACCGGATATGGTAATCTTTCGACCACGTATGCGAAAATTTTTCTCTTGAATTTTCCAAGGGTTAGTGTAAAATATGTTGTACCCAAAATAGGAACTTTGGTATTTCCCGCAGCCAACAGAAATTTCGCTTGTTTTGACTTGCGTACTTCATTTGTCAAGACCATGTCGCTCGTAATAATATTAGTAGCCGACCCGGTATCTATAATGGCGGTTACAGTCTTATTTTCTACTTGGACTTTTAGGGTTAATATGCTAGAGTGGAAATGGTTATTATCATGATACTGAACTAATGATTGCCCCCCTTTCTGTGTTAGGACGATCGGGAGATTTAATTTCGTCGTCCTTGTTCGTTTGGGTGGAATTTTTCTTGTTTATGCCAGCAGGCACTAGCAAAGTGGCCGCTTTTCCCACAGTGGTAGCATTTTGGTCGTCCGTCAAATGTACGAGTACTCGGTAAATTGGTTACGCCCCGCCTAAAATTTTGTGGCGATGGATTTGATGAGTTATTCATTGAATTTCGTGTGTTTCCAAAATGTGGACGGGATTGTCTATTCGTCCAATGCTGTTGCGACAGCCTAGATTCCTGTGGACTTTCCGAAACAATAAAATTTCGCGTATTTCCGTAATTCGGGCGAGGCTGTCTGTTCGTCCAGCCTTGTTGTTGCGACGAGCTAGTCTCCGGTGGATTTTCGGAAATATTATCCGCCCGCCGCTCGATAGCATCGAGTTTCTCGATAATAGGTTTCAAGCCAGGTATGCTTACACCGTCGGGTTTCAAAATTTTGTAATTACTAAAATATTTGTTCAACATTCCTTTTTCGAAATATTTGATAAATCTTTGGTCCGTCATATCTGGATCTACCTCATGCGCGAGGAAAAGTAGATCAAAAAAGAATTCTTTCACACTTTCGTCTTTACCCTGTTTTCGATTTTCGAACTGCATTTCTTTATCTCCCGAGTAATCTGACATTTGGAATTCCTTTAAGAATTCTTTTTTGACGTCTTCCCATTTTTTATCCCTTTCTGTGTCTACCAGGTGTTCGTACCATCGGTTCGCTATACCGGACAAAAATGAGCCGAAATATATAATTTTGAGGTTGTTATCCCAAGCGTTGGCCACGGCAGCCCTTTCGTAATTTTTTAGGAATCGTTCTGGGTCGTCACGTTTTGGATCGAAAATTTCGGGGCTAATAAAATTCGGAATGGCTGGAGTTTTCTTACTCTCGAAAGCGTTACTGATTGTTACGTCAGCCATTTTGACTCGAGGTTTTTCGTTAGTGGGTGTTATAATAATTGGCGGGGAATTTTCCAAAATCGTTTTTGGGTCTGTGGTTTGTTCTCCGGATATATTACTTAAGGAGAGCGAATCTAAATTTACTCCAGATGCGGACGCGGTACTGTTACTGCTTTCTCCGATTTCGAATTTAGCATTGCCTTGTATATCGGAACTTCTGATTTTTGGTTTAAAAGAATTGTATTCTCGCTCTATGATGATTTTAGTTTGTAACCGAGTTATTGGACGTTGACCGAATTTATCAGTCATATGTAGCCGTATAGTTAAATTTCGGCGCCTCCACCATATGTCACGACTGAGGTGTTCTAAGGGGTTGGTAGAGCGGGGTAAAAAAAGCCCAGTTCGTGAGTTTACGTTATTTCTATTGATAATAATTCAAATACAATAAAACTACTTACTGTTTTGTTGGGAGAAACATGTCACAGGTTCTTTTTCTTTCTCTTGCCACAACCCAACTGCCGTCCACCCGCTCTCGTCAACCCCACGAAGCCCTTGCAGTGTCAGCAACTATCCCTACTGTCGGTATGTGTCGACACTCCATGGCCTCGATGGAATCATATCGCGAGCAGGGTGTTTGGCAATCCCATCGTAACTAGGTTACATATTTTTGTGACTGTGACAATAATAAGGACTAATCTGTAGCAAATAAGCTAGAGTATAGAACCGGAAAATTTGCTTTGCGAAAATTGTAGTTATTATGACCTGAATGTTTTGAAAATTTGACGAACAGTCACCACTGCCCAAAGAAATGTCATGCCTCCGAGTTATTCTCACTGAACTGAGGAAGACTTATTCATCATAACAAAAATAAAAGGTAGAATCATTCGTCCCATAATCTATTCGGAGCACTGAAACCCAAACTTCCCTCTAAATGTTCACTTGACTATGAGCGAGAAGTAATCATACAAGTTGGGTTCCCGTGCTCAGATAAGATGCCCTAATATCGTACGTTAACCATATAATCCCTGGTGGACGCTAAAATCCTTTGTCTTTAATTCGATTCACACCCATTCTCTACCCACATACTTACAATAACCAGTCCATGAACTATAATTGGTCACTAACTATCCGCCTTCTAAACTTAACAACCCCAAATCCAACAACACGTCTAACAATACTTTACAAAATCTCTCTAAGTCGATTCTTAATAGAGAAAATCAGAATTACGATCTCAAGTGAAGAGATCAATTAAAATATATATATGTATGTAAAAAAAAAATTAATTAATAATAATAATAAATAAATGTACTTCCTTAGATAATATAATAATTAAGTTAAGAAGTTAAAATTGTAAGAATTATAAGGATAATCATTAGTAGGTAGTCAGTAATAATTTTGGTTCATGTTGTTTCATGATTAATGGTTGCTCCCTGGCCCCTACATCCAACCGAGCACAAAAGGGAGGCGGGAACACCAGTCGATGGCTGTAATCCCCAGAGATCTCTGCACCTCAGTACTCTCGAGCTGTCTCATGGTGCCGGAACTTCCAGAACCGAAGCACTAAGAAGTCCAATTGCCTCTTCATTGCCTCTCAGCAGTGTGATCTTCTGGATAACCTCTTCTCTGCACTTAAAAGCCGTTGGAGGATATGCCTCAAACATTGTGTGTACTGGCGTCCTCTTCTCCGACGATGATGTCTGTATCGGCCTCAGAAATAACACTGGAAGGGATGTCCACGTTGGCAACGCGATTCTGAAAACTGGAATTTTCTGTACGTTCGCTCATTCTGCTGATATTCAACACGCTGCATTACCACCACGACTGTGCGATTGGACCTACAATTCAGATAAGCTCGTAGGGGAACGGGTGTTCAGGGTCGAGGGGTCACCCACTCCCATGTGTTAGAAGTCGGCCAGGGAAACTGTCATCATTGTGATTTGGTTGCTTTAATTATTGTTACTCTTAGAATATTTATATTGTTGTTATTAGTATTTAAGATTAGATTGTACTAAAGGAACACTGGGGTCCAGTGTTCTCTAGGGGGGGAGATATGTCACAGTCACAAAAATATGTAACCTAGTTACGATGGGATTGCCAAACACCCTGCTCGCGATATGATTCCATCGAGGCCATGGAGTGTCGACACATACCGACAGTAGGGATAGTTGCTGACGCTGCAAGGGCTTCGTGGGGTTGACGAGAGCGGGTGGACGGCAGTTGGGTTGTGGCAAGAGAAAGAAAAAGAACCTGTGACATGTTTCTCCCAACAAAACAGTAAGTAGTTTTATTGTATTTGAATTATTATCAATAGAAATAACGTAAACTCACGAACTGGGCTTTTTTACCCCGCTCTACCAACCCCTTAGAACACCTCAGTCGTGACATTATATAGTCTCACAGATGTTAATTTGGCATGTAAAACTTTTTATGATAAAATATATTGATTCTTGCGTACTGTTATGGTTTAAAAATCGAACGTTACGCCACTGAATTGTGGGACGCCGCTGGTACGCACGACGCGCAGGGAGGTCGACGTTTTAGAGTGGAAATTGACAGTTGACACCGGTATTGCCGGGATTCGGCCATTTTTTGGACGCGATGGGGAAAAGTCGTGCCAAAACTTAACTGGCGTGAATTAAACAATTCCGTTGCCATCGGCTGATGTGTTGGTGTGGGGATTAAGAGAAGAGCGTGAACTCGCCACATTCCTGTTACCGTCACAATAAAGTTACCACATTGATGTTACCATCACGTTGATATTATCGCCACATAGCTGTTGCCGTGGCATTTCTATTGCCCCGTTTTGTGTTTGTGCTGGACTCGGAGAGTAAAGCCACCAGACAGCAAAGAACCAGAGAAACTGCCTCTCATCTCTACCCCCATACGACCAGAGCACCAAAGGGGGACTGTGGAAGTCCCAGAGGGTCCGTCGCCGTGGACTGTGAAGGGGGATTGATCTAGGACAGCAGATGCTGAAGGGGGCTTAATCCTCTTGAAGGGAGGTAGAGGTTAAAGAGTAGGGATCGGGGTTCAGTACTAGTGTAAGTTATTAAGGTGATACAATTGTTACTGATATTTGTTGTATTTCGTTTGTATTGAATTTCATAGTGTGTTTAGCAATAGAATTAGTTAATATCTAAGGTTGTTTCCCTGCCAACGCCACCTTGCCGCCGACACTGTGCTTCTACGGAAAATAAGCACATAACAATACCCAAATTTACATCTGGCAGCAAAAACTTTCCCAAGTGGTATAGTACTGAATTAAGAACCACTCTTAAGTTTAAGAATAATTTTAGGCGAAAATACAAAAAATGCAAGGCTATCCATTATAAAGATGAATTTATTAGATTGCGAAAAATGGCAAAATTGCTAACTAACCGTGACTACGACGATTATCTGAACAGTGTAAGTCAATCGCTGTGTAAGGATCCAACGAAATTTTGGCACTTTGTTCGTGCTAAGAGTGGAAAAACTCGAATACCTGGTGTTCTCACGTTGGAATGCACCGAACTCTCCAACCCTTTAGATATTGTCTCAGGCTTTGCAAAATATTTTCAGAGTGTATATAACACTTCGTCTGCGGGTACTTCTGTCTCCTCTGATAGTATGGCAGTGCCTGCGTCCTGCGTACATCTTTCAAACATAGACAAACTGGATGTTGAGAAGGCTCTGCACATGCTCAAACCGAAGCACACTTTTAGTACTGATCAAATTCCATATTATCTGGTCAAAGATTGTCGTGCTATTTTAGTCGAACCCTTAACTTACCTATTTAACCTGTCGCTGAAAACTCAAACATTTCCTAATGATTGGAAATTGGCTAAAATATGTCCGGTTTTAAAGTCTGGTGACAATAGCCATATCGAAAATTACAGGCCTGTTGCTGTACTTTCAGCTTTTTCTAAGGTTTTTGAAACAGTCATTTATAATAGAATATTTCCGTCAACAAAATCTATGATTTCTCCCTATCAGCATGGTTTTTTCCCTGGGCGTTCAACTCTAACAAATCTTGTATGCTTCACACAATTCATAGCGGAACACCTTGATAAGAAGCAGCAGGTTAATTGTATATACTTGGACGTGTCTAAGGCGTTTGATACCATTAACCATTCCATTGCTCTCAGGCGGTTGGAAAATTCTTTGATTCGTATCTCTCCGACCGGAAGCAAACAGTTGTTTATAATGGATTCAAATCTTCCTATTTTTCTCAAACGTCGGGCGTACCTCAAGGCTCAACTATAGGACCATTAATATTTCTAATATACATCAACGATTTGCACTCAGTGATACGCAATAGGATCTTGTTTTATGCAGATGATATAAAGATTTCCAATGTAGTCAATGGCTTCGAAGATGCGCTATCATTGCAGGTGGATGGTGATGCTATATATGGGTGGTGCACTGACAATGATTTTGTGGTGACCATGAAGAAGACTGCAGTTTTAACATTTAAGCGCACCAACAAATCAGTTCACTTCGACTACTGCTTAAAAGGTGTGAACTTGCAACGTATAACTGAAATCCAGGATCTAGGTGTAACATTTGACAGTATCTTATCTTTCCACCCACATATAAATAATCTAGTAGCGTCTTCTCTTAAACTTTTAGGTTTTATTGCCAGAACATGTAGGTGCTTGAGTAATCCTGTAACCCTAAGGACTTTATATATAGCACTTGTACGTTCCAAGTTAGAGTACTGCTCCCTAATATGGTCCCCCTATTATGCTTATCAAAAATTAAATCTTGAAAACGTTCAGCGAAAATTGGAAAAACATTTATTTTATCTTAGCATAGGTACCTTTCCCTCTAGAGGTTTTGATCATAAGGAGCTTTTAAATTCGTGTTCACTAGATACCCTAGAATGTCGATATAAAATGTCTGCAATAAAATTTTTATATAAGGTCCTTTATAACGACATAGATGCCATTTACATAACTGGCTGCCTATGTATCAATGTACCCCGTTTACATAGTCGCTATCACTGTACATTTAATTGTCTCAGAGCTCGTTCAAATGTTCTTTTTAATGCTCCAATATATAAATTGTCGCAGACTGGTAACAGCCTTGGCGAAGAAATTGACATTTATGTGTCGCCGCTTAAGCAAATACTGCTAAATGCGCATGAAGTTTTCGCATAGTTAGTTTCATAATAGTTTAGTTTAGTTTATTACGGAAAACTCCATTTACATTAATATAGAATTAATAAAAATTTACATAAAACCACCATTTAACAATCTAAATTAATTGAAAATAAATTCAAATTAAACATCAAATTAAACATCAACTCCTAAGATAACAATTTTTAAATAAAATATAAACAATTTTTCTTCTAAATATGTATAAAGGGTTTGAGAAAATATCTACTGATCTATATCCCGCTAATATATTACCTAATTGCATCATTCTCCTAACTGCGTTGTTCAAACTCAAATTCGTTTGTGCAACCGAAACTCGAAAAATTTTAGCACCTCTGGTTGTACATAGATTCGAAACCGGTGCATAAAATGATAATTTTGATAAAATATCAGGCGAACGTAAATGAAAATTAATAATTGCATGTAAGATGCAACAATCCGACATTGTTCTCCTTATGTGCAAGGGAGGAAGTTTAAACAATTCCATGACCACATCATATTCTCCTGGACGATGTGCAATCCCCATTTTAAATTCCATACATCGTAGAAACTTTTTTTGAATTCTTTCCAAAAGTTCAATGTCTGTTTTATAAAATGGATTCCAAACTGATGAGCAATATTCAACCTGAGATCGTACAAGTGAGCAATAAAGTACTCTCAATGAAGTCGTTGATAGCATATGACAATGACGCCACAAAAAATTCCACATATTTAATGCTTTTTTAAATATCATACTATAATGACTCTTGAAAGCTAACTTAGAATCGAAAACGACCCCTAGATCCTTAATTTCATCCACGATCTTGAGTGAGACATCATCAATCGCATAAGAGGGAATAAAAACGCTCCGTAGATTGCGATTACAAAAAGAAATGGCATAACATTTATTGACATTCAGAAATAACTGATTCTTTAGGCACCATCCATGCAAACTGTTTAAATCGAATTGTAATTTGATTGTGTCCTCAAAGCAGCTGATTCTCTTGAAGATTTTTAAATCATCCGCATAAAGCAGAAAATTAGAAAATTCAAAATTAAATTGCAGGTCATTAATAAAAATAAGAAGCAAAACTGGGCCACAATGTGTACCCTGTGGTACACCTGAAGGGACAACCAATTCACTGTGTCATGATGAAAGCCAAAGTAATTTAATTTAGAGATTAGAATATTGTGACCTACTCTGTCGAATGCCTTGGCAAAATCGGTATAAACAGAATGAACCTGAATCCTGGCTTCGAACGCCTCATTAATAAACGTAGAATACGAAAGCAAATTTGACAGAGATAATAATAGTTAGACTAATTAAGTTAGTTTTTTTTTAGTTTAGTTTAATTTAGTTCAATTTAGACCTTAGAATTAACTGTAATTTGCCCTGTAACTGGATGTAAGTCTGTTGGGCAGTAAACCATTATTATAATTATTATTACTTCAGAGTAGTGGAGGTACTGCATTTTGGCTATGAATTTGAGTTTAGATTTAAAGACATGGATGTGGACGCTATATGTAAACAGAAAAGAGTGAAGAGGCTTAACGTAGTAACATCGGAAGACAAGAGAGAACCGATCACAACCAATATGGTAAGAACCATCAAAGCCATTGTGGATGAACAAGAAGAGCGCCTAATAAAACTGTTGACGGAATATCGGGATTGCATCGCCCCTAATGTTCACGAGAGAGGTTGCACAAATGTTATGAAAATGAAAATTGAAAACAACGACGTTCCAGTGAGAGGTAAACCATACCGAGCGAGTGCAAGTGAGAGAACAGCAATTGCCGAAATTGTGAGTTGAGTGGAAAAAGGCAGGAGTAGTCACAGAAACGACAAGTGAATATGCCAGTCCCGTAATACCAGTTCAAAAGAAAACGGGAGAACCAAGGTTAGTGATCGACTACAGATGGTTGAATGCACATACAAAGAAAGCTGTTTTTCCAATTCCGACAATCAACGAGCAGTTTGAACACTTGAGTGGTAGTCGGTGATTTGTTACTCTAGACTTGGCACATGGATATTTACAGATTCCACTGGAGGAAGACTCGAAACATAAAACTGCGTTTATCACACTTGATGAGACACGTCAGTTTGAACGATTGATGTTTGGATTGACAAATGGTCCATACAGATTTTGTCGGTTGATGCATTGAGTTTTAGGACCACTTGGACATAAAATAAGCATGTGTTACATTAATGATTTGTTAATAGGAGCAAGGGATTGGGGTGATATGTTGGAAAAATTGCAGCTAGTGTTCGAGGCGTTGCGTAAGGGGAAGTTAACTGTAAACTTATCGAAGTGCGTGTTCGGGTTAGAGGATGTTGAGTACGTGGGACTAACAGTGTCAGCGAATGGACTTCGACCGGGTCGCGAGAAAACTGTGGCTATTAGAAATTATCCAAGACCGAAGGAGACGTACGTAGATTCTTGGGTATGATTGGATACTTTCGACGTTTTATCGCAGTGCACCCGCGTCCATTAAGTTACTTACTACGCAAGAATGCAACATTTGAATGGACAGAAAAACAAGAAGAGTGTTTTAATCATTTAAAGACGTTGTTATGCTCCCCAAGCAGCAGACTGTCGTCTAATTCACGTCAATTTTTGGTTATAACTCGTCGGCGACGTCATTCGCCCAAAAAATCACGTGATAATGACGAGATTTTTATTACTTATTTCTGACGTCAAGTAATGACGTCAAAAGGCCGTACTTTCTCCGTCATTTTTATAGGGGGTGTGCGTAAAACGTGTACCAAGAAAAAATAATAACTTAATCAATGCCTTATTACAATGAAATTGTTTCTCAATTTTGCAATAAATCTAATTTAACGTAATATAGTAACATAAACATCAATTTTTGAAATTTTTGTTTATTCTAATTTTGTTGTACTTTTTTCAGTTTCGCATAATTTATCACTTTTTTTTGTTGAGTAACTCAGTAATTGATGGGCATCTGCCCGTTGAGTTGCTTTTGCCGATTATAGATGTTAATACTATTACCTATTATAAAAATAAAGTGATATGTAATAATTGCATCAGTATATCTATATAATTCGATCGACAATGAACATGTGTATACTTCAGTCATATTTAAATCTGCCTCGTACTTCTTCATCCATAAATTCTGTTGGTTCCCCTCTTCAGAATTCTGACCAATCAGGTCACTAAATGCGCAAACGCTTGTGTGCTTATCATGCTGTCGTACAAGATACCAAGCATAAACAAAACTTGAGTCCGTAGCGCGGAAATTCGTACGGTAAAAGTTTTTGTACAGCATTTGTGTTGAATCTGTGTTATTTTGTGTTTGTTTGATTACTATTTTTGGTAAGTACTATTAATAATTAATTTGGTGTATTGCACTTAATAACAGGAATTGTTAATATATATGAAAGAAATTTATGTATAGGTGCGGTTTTTTTTTAACGGCCCAATAAACACAAAACACCAGCAACAATAAAACCTCTCAACTTTTTCTTTTCCACGTTTTTGTTCGTAACTGTAATAATCCGTTGATAAAGCTGCAGTTTTCATGAATTTTTTTGTTAACGTATTTATTCAAATTTATTACGAGTACTGAAGACTATACTGTAGCGTGTTTATCGAGAGGGTGCTGAATTTCTTTAAATTCAGTGTAAAAATTTGTTCTTTTTTATTTTTTATTTATTGAATGTAACAAATTAAATTTTTATTCTCAATTTGATGAAAACTAAATAACACCTATTGTCCGCAGTGTAATAAAATGGCGTTCGTAGCTGTGCAGTTTTGTGAAGAAGATGGAGCTGGAATTGCTCTGGTATCAAAAAAATGGTACACCCCTTTAAAAAAACAAGTTTTTTGGCCTCCATACCGAACGCAAAGTCAGTATTACAATTCATTAAAAGAAGCTGAAAACCCTGATGAAGAAACTTGGAAACTGTATAATATAGACAGCAGTGGCGGCTCGTGAAGTTTTCTTCAGAGGAGGCTCAAATTTGAAAAGCAGTACTTTTACTTTTATTATCTGAATAATTTTTTTCGTCATGCCCACGAAAAGAACACTCTTGCGTTGACAGATAAATTATATTGCATCGATTAGTCTTTTCAAAATTGCCCAATTTTCACCAACTTTCTCGTAATAGTTCTCCCTTTTATGAGCCGAATCTAAATTATTGGCAATGTTTTGCTTACCAAGCATTTCTAATTTAATCGAAGAAAATATATGTTCCTGTGATTTTTCATACCTTTCTATAGCTCGTGACAAATTTTGTAAATTATTATAGCCTGTTTTACCCCAAGCGGAAGATTTATCAGTTTATCACTTATAAATAATACACAATTCCAACAGTATAATTTGTTTCTTAAAACCGAAGCCGTTAACTATTTAGTTTTATTATAATTATTTTCATGAAATGCTCTGTTTTGTTTCTAATTGTAACTGTCAATACCATTAATGGGAGTGATGGTGTTAGTCTTCCCTTTTATACCCTTACCTGCGTAAAGCCTAAACACCACTACCACTGAACAGGGAGCTCGCGAAACCACCTCAATGTTTTTCCTACTTACACCCGATTGCTCCAACTAATAAGAAAAGTTATCTGTACGACTTGATCTGAAAAGAGATGAACTAGCCGGAGGCTAGCGGCTTGGAGCGGCAGTCCGATCAACTTTTTAGCCAATGCAATGCACACTGACGGTGCGTCAAGGTTACGGTTTCATTATTCAGATGCATCGTCGTTCGGAGGCTAGCGGCTAGCAAGCCTCTGCCGCTGAAACCAAACGCGGAGTGGTGTGAATGTGAATTATGATTGTGAGGGCGCAAATATAAATTTTTCCGACATTTTAACCTGATATATGATGAAAGTAAATGAAATCCAAGAAAATATTCTGAAAAATAACAAATGTCTACAAAAATATAAATTCTTTCATCGAAAAAAACTAGAGGAAGCTCAGCTCCAAAAAATAGAGGAGGCTCAGCCTCCCCTGCCTCTTCTGAGGAGCCGCCACTGATAGACAGAGCTTTTTTTGAATGACATA